TTCTATGTGGATCACTATGGATTGGTTGAGCAAGAGTGCACATTTATCCTGATCGTCGAGAGCATATCCGCAAAGAAGCTAGTTGACATTTATGTCCTGGAGGTAGTAGTTCGACGTGAGGAGCCAGTTTTGGTAGTCTCAGACTGGGACGTTCACTTCACTTCCAGGTTTTGGAGGAAGTTTCATGATGAGTTGGGTACTTAGTTGCATTTCAATACAACATACCACCCTCATACCGATGGCCAGAGTGAGTGAACGTTATAGACGCTCGAGGATATGCTTCGGGCTTGTGTGTTTGATTTTGGAGGGATTTGGGATACTTACCTTCCACTGGACGAGTTCTCCTACAACAACAGTTATCATGCTAGTATTAACCGACCACCATTTGCGATGTTGTATGGGAGGAGGTACAGGACCCCTATTTGTTGGGGAGAGATTAGTCATCGGGTGATGGGAAGCATCGAAGTGGTGATCAAGACCACATAGTTGATTTAGCAGGTGCACGACAGGTTGTGGGTCATGTAGAGTCAAAAAAAGAGTTATGTTGATCGTCGATGTTCAAACCTCGAACTTCAGGTGGGGGACTTGGTGCTGCTAAAGGTGTCAACTTGGAAATGGTTCATCTAGTTTCGGAAACGAGGCAAGTTGGGCACCTGGTTTATTGGTCCTTTTCAGATTACGACCCAGGTGGGTAGGGTTGCATACCAACTGGATTTTCCTCATGAACTTAGTCAGATCCATAACACTTTCCCCATGTCCCAGTTGCGGTTAGCCGATGATTCAACATGTAATTTCATTGGATGATATTCAGGTGGATGAGCACCTAAATTACGTGGAGTGGCCGATTTCATTTCTTTACAGAAAAAATAAGACTTTGCGTAATAAGTTGGTGAATCTGGTAAAGGTGCAATGGCGGCACCGAAAAGGCTCTAAGTGGACGTGAGCCGGAGGGCGAGATGAGGGAGCACTACGTAGAATTATTTGAGGCAGCGGACTTTGAGGATGAAGTCTGATTCTAGTGGGTGAGGGTTGTAACACTCTAACCATGGAGGTATTTAATTTCATGATTTTTTAGCTTGGGTTGAAGGTCACGACATGAGACATGATGTTCACGTCATGAATGCCCTTTAACTGGTTGACCCATGATTTTAGTTCTCAAGACGTGAGACTTTAAGTGCTCACAACATGAGATTGAATGGACATCCAAAACCTAATATTCCAGGTTCAATGGAAAAAAGAGGGATAGGGTTGCCCATCCTTAGCCTCCTTCACTCTTTTGCCTCCTAATAACCCTAATCTCGACCCTCTTGAAGTCCTTAGTCATTTTTGAGATCTTTGAAACATTAGTTGGTAGTTTTTGACTATGAAGTGGAAGAATATCTTGGTAGAGAAACATCTTAGCGTTTTAGCTTCTACCTTGCAATATCCTGGAGCTTTTAGACCATTGTAAGTCTTAAAGCTTGGACTTTTCTACCTATTACATGCTAGATATAAGTTTTAAGCTCCTTGTTTCATTTTTGTGTTAGATTTAATGCTTGGGATCCATAAATTTGGAAACTTTATGGATCACTGAGTCATTATCTACAAGATAGTCTTTTGATCTGAGTTTTGGTATAGTTTGAGACTCCAAGCATGAGTTTAGATGACTAGATCCCATTTTTTCCACTTTATGTTGGTTTGACATGGATCTTTCATCAAACCTTACAAACTTCTTAGGTATGTTTTTCATTAATACCATGATTGATATCTATGGCAATTGGTGAGATTTATATTGTTTACAATTTTTTTCATATATCTTGAGATTTATTCCATTTTTAACATTTATTTTTTCAGTTTCTGGACAACTTTTAGATGAAAATCAAGGCAGAAGCATTGTTGATGAGATAAAACAGGTAATTACAGTAAGGTCAAGCTGAAAAAAGAGTTTAGAAGTAATTCTATTTAAATGTTTTTTTATTGTGTGATTAATAGACGTTTTTCACTTATTAATTCTGTTATATTAGTTAACAGTAATTGATTAATAATATGAATTGGTTGTTTTTTTTTTTCAGCGACACTAAATAGCTGGCATAACAGAGCGGAACTTCCCATAGGAATTTACAGAAAGGAATTCGGAGCATAAGAGTTTGACAAATATGGGCCTTTCACACCAAAAAGTAGTGTGTTTTTTTAATTTATGTCATATTTCTTATAGTTAGAGTGATTATTTGCATTTGATAAATATGGGCATTTGACACCTAAAAGTAATGTGTTAGGTAACTTGTTTTCCATTTAAATGAAATTGAATGTTTTGGTATATATTTGTTTTTCATATTATGTGTATTCACGTTGTAAATGCGTACGTAGTAAATGTGTATCATCACTGGCAGCTAAAGTTTATGACATGCAAATGTGTGTCATCTTCATTTATGACTGTGGATTTAATGATACGCAATGCGCGTTGTAAGATTATGACACGCAAGGGCGCGTCGTCTTCATTTATGACAATGGCTTCTTTGACACGTGTTGTGTGTCATAAAGGAACATCGTAAATATGTGTTGTAATGCGTGTCGTAAGTTTACGACATGCAAAAGCGTGTCGTCTTTCGTTATGACTGGGTCTTCCTTGACACACATTTGCGTGTCGTCTGTGCGTTTTACGACTCACATTGCATGTCATTAAATGGTATTTTTGTAGTAGTGTCCCGATTTGAGTTTCTACTCTAAAACTTGGTGTTCGTGTGATTTTTTATTTACATTTTGATCATGAAATATATATGTAACGATTTTTTTTCATTTATTTAAAAAGATGCTCTCCGACAGTTAAAAGAATGGAGAGGGTGGGTGTAAAGGGTGTAAACATGATGATGCTCAAATTTGCAGGGTTCTTGGCCACTTGTTGGATCGATATACGAATTCAATGCCTAAGAAATCATGATTATAACATTCACGTAAATGAAATGAAAGATCGATAGTGTAAATAACACTCCAGTATTTGATTTAAGAGTAAGCACCTTGATGTAATAACTAACAAAAACTTACCATTACCACCAACTAACATCCATATTTATAGGACACAAAAGGGAATCGGTTAGGAATATAACCAATAAGGTTATTGCACCTAGGCAATGACAAAATATAACCTGTCAAGCTAAGTCATTTCGAAAAATAAGGTGTACTAAATTCCAAGACCAAAAAACTATCATAATATTACACTGAAGATAGGATTTTATATTTAAAACATTAACAACAAACAAAGACATAACACAATACATGACTCCGAGACCTAACACCACTTTGGACACCGCTGCCTTGTAGGGTTGGTATAACACTCAACGTTATAGGTTGATTATCTTAACTAAGATGTTCTCTCGTAGTTGAGAGAGAGAGAGAGAGAGAGAGAGAGAGAGAGATTGTCAAAAAAGAAATAAATATTTTATGTTTCCGAGTTGAAAAAAAAAAAAAATTAAATCAAGTCTTATTTTCAAGATAAAATTATTTTTCTCTAAATCCTTTTAAATTGAAAGAAAAACTAAGAGGAAAGACTATAGGGAAAATACCGGCAATAGCCAAAAAATAGGAGGTATTTTCAAAATTTAGACATGAAAATGGATATTTTTGGGTATAGACATGCATTCCGCGGAGGTAGCTTCGTGGAATCAATTGTAGCTACGCGGAATGGCAAAATCGTAATTAAATAAACATTTAAAAAAAAAAAAAAAAACTCAAGATCCATTCCGCGGAGCTCCGCGGAAGTAGTTCCGAGGAATGGATCTTGAGTTTTTTTTTTTTTTTTTTTTTTTTTTTTCGGATCGATTATTCGGGGTTTATATTTATTCACCAACTAATTATTTTCAAGAAAAGATTATGATAGTATGATAATCTTTTTTTGAAAATAATTAGTTGGATAATGAATATAAACTCCGAAGAATCGATGCGGAAAAAGAAAAAAAAAAACCTCAAGATCCATTCCTCGGAGCTACCTCCGCGGAATCTACTTTAGTTCCGCAGAATGAATCTTGAGTTTTTTTATTTTTTTTACGTTGATTTAGTTACAATTTTGCCATTCCGCGGAATGTATATCTATACCCGGAAATATCGATTTTCATATCTAAATTTTGAAATTACCCTCTGTTTTCTTAATATTACCGGTATTTTTCCTTCCCAGGATTATACCTCATTTTCGTTTCTCTTTTGTCAAATTCATTACATTAAAAAACAAAGAAAATCTATTTTTCCCTTTTTTTCTCACTTTTATCTATTTCCTTTCATTTCTTTCTTTAATTGAGGCTCGGGAACTAAGCGATTATATTTTATTAGAATTTTTTATTACAACAAATCTGAACCAACAAGCTTGAGAAAGAATTAATAAGATTATTAAAGTCATGGGATTGAAAAAGAGATTCAACATTTCAACGCATACTTCTTTTAAAAATCATCCAAGGCGTGAGTAGGCTTCAACGAATATTTTTTCAGTGCGATTCAATCAAAGAATTAAGAACCTACGAACGACTTTCTTTTGGTGGGGCCAGAACAATTTTAGCCTGGCAGTATGCCAGTACAGTGTACACAGATGTGAGATGACAATTTAGTGATTTACATTGCCATATTTATTTCATTTTTATTTTTTTTTCAATACATTAATCCAAAATTATATGTGGAAAAATCTAGATTTATAAGAATTTCAGAACTCCAACAAAATAATTATATTGAAGAAGATAAGGATACAAAATAAAACATGATATATATATATATATATATATATATATATATATATATATATATATATATATATATATATATATATATATATATATATATATATATATATATATATATATATATAAAAGAAATCTTAAGAAGAATTTTGTTTTCAAAAGTTTTTAACTCTTAGTTTTATAAAATATTGGATTTTTAAAATAAGATGTTAACCGTTAACAATACATTTTTGAGAAGTTCTTTTTGTGTTAAATTTATTGAGATGGATCCTAGTCATGTGTACATGTTAGATAAAACTAATTATGGGGCTACAAGGATATGGTATGATACTCTTTTATATTTTCTTATTCAAAGGGGATAGACTAGAGTTTGCATTAAAAATTAACGTACAATACCCTGTTACATACAAAGGTTAAAAATGATTTAAGTATGGTGTTAAATTTATGTGGATAATATTATTTTTTATTTATTTAATGATACTGTTGTACATCTTTTAGAAATTCGATGGACAAAAATATCTTATGTAATTAATAAATGATCAGTTTGAGACAATTAAAAGTAAAATATGTTGTAACATTAAAAAGTATTTGAATAAAAATATTATGAGTATATTTAAAATTTGTTCTGTATAGTATATTTCTTTCTTTGCTAGTTTGGTTCAAAAGCAAAATGGAAATTAACATCTAGGGACTATATCTGCATCAAGATGAAAAAAAATGGAAACTTAAAACATATCTATGATTTTTAGTGAAACAAAAGGACTAAATTTCTAATTTACTAATAAATCTCTTTAGTTATTCGTCTTCAGCTCTTTCTTGGAACAAAGGGGAGGTTATATATAGATCCATTTCTATGTCTTAATTATGCTCTCTCATTCCTACTTACTACAACACATACTGATTCAGCAAGTACATTTTACTCTTCTTTGGAGTTTAGGTAGTTTCAATCTCACAAAATACTATATATCTCATGCATGGGGTCATCCTTTATCGATTTCAATTACTAATAGTGTGAGTATATATGTAGGTCGGAAATGAGCACCGGAAGCACTTCATATAGTCATCGACAGCCGAACCAACCTTGTGGAGATCTACTTGGTAAACTCTTGTATCATTTAAGGATTATCATGAACTTGATACCATTGTTTGTTTACTATTTCATAGCAAAATTTTTATATTGCTGTTAGCTGTCTCGTAGGCTACTTGTTGGCAGTTTAGTTTATGACCTGATCTGATTAAGGAGGCTCACAAGTTCTTTTTGGTGACAAAATATCTTTTATTACATCGTGGAAAACTATTTGAAATTAGTATTTTGGGTTTGGGTCAGTTTTTATCACTTAATTTTTAGTTTTGTGCTCATTTAGTCACTTAATTATTTTTAAGTTTTAAAAAATCATTAAACTTTTGACTTTATACTCATTTAGTCACTTAACTTTTAGTTTAGTCACTTAACTTTTAGATTTGTGTTCATTTAGTCACTTAACTTTTAAAGTTGTGTTCATTTAGTTACAAAACTTTTAAAAAAGTTTGAAAATTAAGTGAATAAATTAGAACAATTTAAAAGTTAGGTGACTAAATGTGACCAAAACAAAAGTTAAGTGACTAATTAAGCACAAAACTAAAAGTTCGATAATCTTTTAAAACTTAAAAATAGTTAAGTGATCAAATGGGCATAAAACCAAAAGTTAAATGATCAAAAATGATCTGACCCCTAGTATTATTTATGGAAATTCCACAAGAGGTACAACACAATAAAAAATATATATATATATATATATATATATATATATATATATATATATATATATATATATATATATATATATATTATATATATATATATGGAAACTACTAAAAAAATCATTATATTTTGACCTCATTAACAATTTAGTTTTTATCTTATTTTTTTGATTTAATTAAATCCCAAAAACCGATAATTATTTGTATTTTAACAATTTTACCCAGTAACCGCTCAAAAACAAAATATGATGATTTTTACGCAAATAGATCAAAATAAAAGGATTTTGTTTTAAAAATGTATTATTTTTAATTTTTTAATATCATCTTATTCTCTTAGTATAGTATTAATGTATAGTTTTTGCGTGACACACAATATTATCTTATTGTATTTTTCGGTTATTATCGTATCATATTCTCACTAAAACAAACATAAGAATCTAAAAGTTATAAAAAATAACTTTAGAAAAAAAAGCATTATTAAACAAATGATATAAAACTTGTTAAAATAACGATCTTGATCTTATAATCGTATGATCATCTAAGTACAATGATCTCTATTCGAGATGTATCTTTTATGTTTTTAATTATTTATTCTTATGTTCTTCACAACTTATATAGGATCTAACCATTAGGATTTTGCAAAGTAAAATTTTTTATTTTATTTTAAAGAAAATATTGTATGATATTAGTAGCTATATACAATAACATAATAGTAAGATAATATTTTGTGTCACACAAAAACTATTACATTATGATTATAATATTATAAAAATAAAAAAATAATATGTTTTTTTTTTTAAATCCTTATATTTTGATTTATTTGCAAAAAAATCCTCATATTATGTTGTTAATTTACCAGATAAAATGATCAAAATACAAACAATTGTCAATTTTTGGGATATATATATATATATATATATATATATATATATATATATATATAATATATACACACACACACGCGCGCGCGCGCACACGGTGAGATCACTAAGTATTTTTAGATTTTAGGATCAAAAGCTTAACCATTAGATTAAGAGTGATGTCCCTTAGAAATTTAAAACCGTATACTTCAGATTTAACAGAAACCAATGCGTTTATTTGTTTTTTATTTTATCTAAGGAACTAAAAACTAAAAAATTCATAATTTTTTTCGTCTATAAATAGAAGTCTATATTGATATAATTTTATCTTATTTTATTTTACAAATCTATATTGGTGATGTGCACATATGCACATTTATGTTTTATACAGAAACATGTATTTTGACGTAAAATGAGAACATATAAACATCACTTGAAAAAACATCATTTTTGACATTTATTTTCAACGAATCACCTTTCATAGCAATATCTTAGTCTATTATTGTCATTATTTTATGAAAAAAAATATATCAAAAAAATGTTCATAAATATGCATATATACACAAGCATAATTATGTAAAGATGTACGCGTATACACATTTATATTTGTTTCCACATGCATAATTCTTGTTGTGCACACATACATTATTTATACGTAAAATGTGTATATACACATCATTCCTACATAGAAGGAAGAAGATACCAAAAAAATTAATATAATATAATACAATCCGTTAGGTAACAATATTTTTTTTTTTGAAAAAATTAAATTATTTCCATAATAGATATTCTCTGCTAGACAAAAGAATACAATAAAATTAATGCAAGATAATACAATACATCAAACATAAATATTATTAAAACGATTATTATCAGAAGAAAAAAAATATATTTTAAAAGTAAATATTATCTGTTAGACACGGAAAATACAATAATAATAGAAAATAATACAATTTGCTAGACATAAATATCATTAAAAAATGTTATTAAAAAAAATATTTTCAAAATAGATATTAACTCTTAAACAAAGAAAATATCATAAAATTGATATAGGATAATACAATCCGTTAGACAGAGAATATTATAAAAATCATTAATTTTAGAAGAAGAAAACAAATTATTTTCATAATAAATATTTGTTGTCATACAAAAAATTACTATAGGATTTGATGTAAAACAATATATTTCGTTTTAAAAAAATATTGAAGATTTTTTATTTTATTTTAAAGAAAATATTGTATGATATTAGTAGCTATATACAATAACATAATAGTAAGATAATATTTTGTGTCACACAAAAACTATTACATTATGATTATAATATTATAAAAATTAAAAAATAATATGTTTTTTTTTTAAATCCTTATATTTTGATTTATTTGCAAAAAAATCCTCATATTATGTTGTTAATTTACCAGATAAAATGATCAAAATACAAACAATTGTCAATTTTTGGGATATATATATATATATATATATATATATATATATATATATATATATATATATATATATATATATATATATATATATATAGACACACACACACGCGCGCGCGCGCACACGGTGAGATCACTAAGTATTTTTAGATTTTAGGATCAAAAGCTTAACCATTAGATTAAGAGTGATGTCCCTTAGAAATTTAAAACCGTATACTTCAGATTTAACAGAAACCAATGCGTTTATTTGTTTTTTATTTTATCTAAGGAACTAAAAACTAAAAAATTCATAATTTTTTTCGTCTATAAATAGAAGTCTATATTGATATAATTTTATCTTATTTTATTTTACAAATCTATATTGGTGATGTGCACATATGCACATTTATGTTTTATACAGAAACATGTATTTTGACGTAAAATGAGAACATATAAACATCACTTAAAAAACATCATTTTTGACATTTATTTTCAACGAATCACCTTTCATAGCAATATCTTAGTCTATTATTGTCATTATTTTATGAAAAAAAATATATCAAAAAAATGTTCATAAATATGCATATATACACAAGCATAATTATGTACAGATGTACGCGTATACACATTTATATTTGTTTCCACATGCATAAGTCTTGTTGTGCACACATACATCATTTATACGTAAAATGTGTATATACACATCATTCCAAAATATACATTTTTTTCGGTTTTTTTTTCTTCTGAGAATTACATTTTATAGCAGTGTCTAATCTTATTCAAATGTATATATGTGTACATCACTAATATATACATGTAAAAATATTAAAAGTTATATATCACTATTAATGTCTATTCATAGAGAACAAAAAAATTTGAATTTTGATATTTTTTATTTTTTTTTAAATAAAATAAACTTTTAAAAATTGGAAAAATAAATTGGTTTTTTGTTCGATTATTGTTGTAACCCGATGCATGCATGTTCGTTTAACAAATTTACACTTTTTTTTAAGTTATTGTGTTCTAACTATTTATTGTGTGCATGTATGATTGATTGTGAACCGATCATTTTAGTTATTTAAAAAAAGTAATTAATGCATATTACATGTTGAAGATATAATGATTATTAATTAAATATTTAACATTTAATATGCATTAATTACTTTTTAAAAATAACTAAACTAATTGGTCCAAAATCAATCATACATACACACAATAGATAGTAGAACCATTTGAATCTAACTCTCTGTCTATATATATATATATATATATATATATATATATATATATATATATATATATATATATATATATATATATATATATATATATATATATAGGGTTAAGTTCAAATGAGAACACTATTTAATGTGAGAACGTGGGAATACTACTTTATGTTATTATTCTACTATGAATTTAATATGTATAGTATTGTAGTAATTATAATATAAATATATTCAATTTTATATTGCTATTCCACTATAAAATTTTATATATATATATATATATATATATATATATATATATATATATATATATATGTATGTATATGTATGTATATATATATATATATATATATATATATATATATATATATATATATATGTAATAATTTAGTAAATTCTAATGTGATTGTTCATATATTCGGTGATGAATAATGTTATAAAGTTGTACATACAAAACTTTAATGTGAATATTAATGTGTGATTGTTTGTATATTTGTTGATGAATAATATCATATCGTTATATATATACAAAATTCATAGTAGAATAATAACATAAAAAAGTGTTCTCACATTAAATAATGTTCTCATTTGAACTTAACCTTATATATATATATATATATATATATATATATATATATATATATAATATATATAATATATATATATATATATATATATATATATGAATAGAAGTAGATCCTCTTTAGATTCCGAAAAAAATAAAAGATCTTGATATTCAACTTTAGTCATATATGTCTTATTTGTTACTCTAGCACTCCAGTGTACCGACTCAGCAAAGAGTTATAATCGTAAATGATTGTAAAACACCATTGTTTCTTTTTCCGTGCTACTTTCCTCACAATCACAACCAACAGTGCCGCCACCAACTGTGCCACCACTGCCACCTCTATCACCTCTACCACCGCCACCTCTTCCATCAACACATCCTCTGTCACCAACCACCATAATCAAATATGATTAATAACTTTATGAACAGACATATATGTATATTTATTTATGATCACACACAAACACACACACACACACACATATATATATATATATATATATATATATATATATATATATATGATTATACCTTTCCATCATATAATCATTTCTGATTAGGCATTGTTCTGCCATGCTAATACGAATTTCAAAATCTCTAATTTTTTCAGAATCTTAATTGATGTCCCATATATATATATATATATATATATATATATATATATATATATATATATATATATATATATATTCAGCGGGAGGGTAGTAATTAGGATAGATTTACACCTAAAAATAAAATATGATCACCGGCTTAGCTATACATCACGTGTTAGAGAAAAAGAGCTTATTGTCAGTACTTAATTAATAACCTTCCTTAACCTTTTCAATTGCCTTATATATAGGAAATGAAGACGCCTACAACAAAATTTGTGTTCCTCTCTATAATGCATCAATGAGATGTGACTGGGAAGCTGCTAGTGTCATCCTTAGTGAACACCAAGACCTAGATCTTTTGGGGTTTGCCATCACTGAAAATTATGATACTGCGCTTCACATTGCATCATCCGCAAAAAGCAGCAGGTTAATGGAAATGTTTGTGGAAAAGCTAGTAAATAAGATGACAAAGGAACAATTAGAGCTCCAGAACAAAAGTTATAACACCGCACTGTGCTTAGCAGCAGCAGATAGCGCAGGAAATGTGAATATTGCCATGACTATGGTGGAGAAGAATAGGGCGCTATTAGATATCCCTGCTCGTGAAGGATTGATGCCACTTTCCATTGCTTCGAGATCAGGACAACGTAATATGGTGCAACTTTTCTATGATAATTCTAACAAGATGACTGGTGACTTTTGGACAGATCACAACCGTAGTCAGGTTCTCCACAACTGTGTAGAAGTCGATCTCTTTGGTAAGTATTTATACATTTCTTTCGATATAAATTTTTTCGGAACGACGAGTTAGTAGATGCATGGGATTGAACTCATGACCTCCTTATTACAAACACCTTGTTAGACTCCATGTTAGCCAAGTGGGCTAGCCCAAGTTATTTTCAACATAAATTTCGTTAAAACTAAGTTACATAGTGATACGAAATATTTTCTTTGAATCCTCATTTCTAAATTCTCAACATTATATAAGAAGTTTATTGAGTGGGCTTTGGGGCAATAATGGTAGCACCAATAATAACAATGATAATTATAATAATAATTAACATAGCCTAACATCTCCTGACCGTTGGAATGAGAGGGTATGTCCGAACATTTAATCTAGACTGAAACTCATGAAATAAAGATGAAGGAAGTCTCTTAGTGAAGTTGTTCGCATATTGAGAATATGAGGGACATGAAGCACCCATAGTTGATCCATCGTGACTTTGTCACGAATGAAATGGATCTCGATCTCAAAATGTTTGGTTTGTTAACGACGAACTAGAATGGAAGAAAGATAACCCACACTTATATTATCACAATAAGCAATGGTGATAGTAAGAATTAGTTGGAGTAGTTCGAGGAGAAGATTATGAATCCAACATGTCTTGGTGAAAACATTGGCCACTCTGTAGTACTTCAGTATTAATTGAAATTCCCAATGTACAACATAAGATAAGCAGTATAGATAAATAAAGAGGAGTCCCAACGATTAATTTCGTTACGTTTTTCCATTTAGAATCATTGAAAGCCTAATATTAATTTCGGGGAATCAGAGATGTAGAATCCACATGAAGATTAAGTTTTTGTCTCTTTCTAGAGAATCTAACACGAGATTAAATGGCCATAGCCTAAAGAGACGAGTTTGGAGGGAAGACATCAGGAGTGGGAGACAATGTAGGGTTTCTAAAATAAGATAACTTCGATTAGGAGTTGTTGAGGCAGTATTATCATATGAGGTTGTCTCAGACAAGAAGGTTAATGCTAAAGTGGCAGCGGTGGTGGTTGTTAATTTTTGGTGTGGAGGTGATCTCGGTGAGGTCTTGAGGAGATGGATTTCCAAGGAATGTTTGAGATATGGTTTTTATTAGAAATTTGGGTGTAGAAAGGCTTGTAAATTCTGAGAATTGTGATTATCACTTTCAAATCGAAGTATTTGGTGGTACTCCCAAATCCTCAATTGGATAAGACTCAGAGAGGCAAGAACCGAGAATGTTTGATGATATTTTCGTATGTACCAGAAAATGAGACCAAAACCAACTTTAATATCTTTGTCTGAAAACTGTCATATGACAGTTTTAAACTGTCATAAAACCATAAAAACTGTCATAAAAACTGATATATGGATAAGGGTCAACCCAATGGTCAATTATCTGAAAAATCAATTTTCTGATGCATTTTTAATATAGTAACATACCCTATATAAAAACTATCATAAAAACGGATATATGGATAAAGGTCGATCCCATCCAGGGGCTGCTACCCCTTGGACCCCGCTCTCAGGGGCGCTGCCCCCGAACCCCCGTTCGTTCAGGGGCTTCGCCCCTAAATGATAGTGTACTTTGAAACTTGATCAAACTTAAACAAATGTGTACTCCACACCTTCCTTACTTGTTTAATATTTATCAAGATCATTTTTGGTCAACACAAAGTAATCTCATTACACTTAAATAACATTGATGATCAAAATCACCAACAGTTTTTGGTTCATAAATTGGTTCAAGGAAATCATATGATAGTGATTTTATTTGTGACATGTAACCGAAGGGAAAGATAGACTCATCAAATGTAACATGTATGGATACACTTATTTTATTTTAGATAATGTTTAAATATTGATATCCTCTATGATGTGGAGGATACCCAATACAGATGCAAGGGGTCGTCCGAGGGTTAAGTTTATGGGAAATTGTGAGATAAAGATAACATAGACTAAACCTGATATGGGTGGCCATGTAAAGAGCCTCACCCCAATACGTAGGGGGAAGACATACATAGAAGAGTATAATATGAATGATATTGTTAATGATACCAACCATACTTTGGATTTTCCATTTTTTGAGGTGTATACAAACAAGAGAAATAGATGTGAATGCCATTTGAATCACAAAGTTGATGGAATTGGGCATTGTCATATACTCCACTATTATCACATTGAAACATTGGTATTTTAGTTTGGAATTGAGTGTGGACACAGGAATGAAAGTGTATAAATTTAGAAAATACTACATATTTGAATCATAGAGGATTAACTCAAAGAAAATGTGGGATTTGGTTAAGAAAAAGAGCATAATATTTAATGCTACTAATGCTTTGTATGAGTGAGGTCCAAAATTTAAAATGTATGCATCGAAAATGAATAGAAGCAACAAAATTCTGAGAAATTAAATCTTGAAAAACTTGATGACTAGGATGACCAAGACAATGGTGCCATGTAGATGGGTAATAGAGAGAAATGCTAGAGGAAACAAGTTTGTAATTGAATATAAGTCATCCATTCTATTAAATTTGAGGTGTTAGGTAGTCCTTCATCGACAAATGAAATTCAATAGAACATTTTTTGTCATGAGTGAAACGACAAACATAAATTGAACTTTTAATGTTATTTGGAGTAATAGGGATATGACGGATAAAAAAAATTAGTAAGGGTTAGAGCTAGCAAGAATTGTCACCAGTCTTACTGATCAACAAAATTATGGATCCATTACAAACTAATAGAGAAGATGATAAGCCAAGATCGTGAGTAGAGGTTACAATACCCGCATCAGCATGTAAATGAGATGTTGCTCCAGAACCATATATCAACCACCATTGTTAGCCTCGTTTAGTATTAAACATTTAAGGAAAATATGTAACATTCAAATAGCATGGTAAGCATATATATATATATATATATATATATATATATATATATATATATATATATATATATATATATATATAGGTTATTAAAACCATCAAAACTCCAAATAGGAATAACATAGGTGTCATATATCATTAAACACACAAAACACATTAATAAGTAAAACATCATTATCCAAAATAGATATATAGGACATGTATCTTGTGAATATACTCATCTCAAAAGCTTAGAAATAATTCAAATGCTTAAAATGTTCATTATTTATCCTTATATAGATTATAGAATCCATTTGAGACCAATGGAATGAACCACACTCAAGATACTAACAGAGTGTGAATCCTTAACTTAAAAAAAAAAAAAAAAACAATGCATATGTTTTTTACTTAAAAAACACACGGTCCATTTGAATGAAACAGATCAGTGCTTTAGTGTAAAAATTCTCAAGAAGGTTATTCACTTGGAACTTGAACCCACTGATCTCACATATGAATATACTGACTCAAGAAGCTTTAAATAGAGTTTATAAGACATAAAGTGAACATTACAAAGTATCACCCTTTGATTTTACATCCTTGAAATAGATCAAATAATAAAAATTCCTCAAAATTCAAAGTATAATGAACATATGGAGCTTAAACTGCACCTAATCGGTATGCGTGATTAATGGATTGAAACCAAAATGAATCAATACAAAAAGTCCAACCTAAAACACATGAATTTAGGAATACGTGAAATATTAGAACTCAGTCATTATATAACATTGAGCTAACATCACATGAACTTCAAAGAAGCTCAACTTCTCCAAAACTTTATATAAACAAATTCAACCATAGATTACTAACATGGATACAAAGTGGATGAAAATAAAGTAAAAATATAAACAACTTCATAACACCATTTGATTTGTGAAATTTGGATCTAGAACCCCTAGAGTTAGAAAAACTTCCAAACATTAGCAAAATTTTAATAGACACAAATTAAAATATGTTTTGCAAATCCATCCATGGATGATAACCTAGATACTTGAATGGACATAAACACATCGTATATAGAAAAATCCAACAATTATATTCGAAATCCGTAAAATTAGGGTTTGTGTTCTTCCCCAAACCTCTATAAATTTCAAGTCTAACAACTATAATGAAAGTTGTTGGTTAAACCATAAACTACAAGTGAAATATCAACTAGAACATGACATTAACTCCCAATAAGAACATGAAACTCGAAATTGTTTATCATACAAACCTTATAATTTGAATTTTAGAAGAAATGGAGAAAAAATTACCTTCCAACTGCTAGAACATGTAGACATTTAATCAATGCTTCAACAAGGAGCTTAAAACTTCAAAACACCATGGGAAATAGAGAGAAATATCCCACTAGGGTTTCATGGATGGAATTTTCATTCAAGAGGGAGGGAAGAGAAGATGAGGTATAAAAATTTCAAGACTTGGATTTTTGGCAACTAAGGTCACTCTACTTCATCCTTCCGGTAGAAAGGGCACCAAAACTAACTACAAACTCTCCCAAACTATTTATTTTAATTATTATGACACAACTAAATTATATCTATCTCAAGTAAGTCCCTAAATATAAAGTATGTCAAATTTTTTTGGAAATGCAAACGATTCAGGAGAAGCTTCACCATAATATTTCAATAGTGACCTCGAGTTCGAGCGCCGTTATAAGGCAAACTCATCCCCAAGGGGATTTCTAGGGAAAAATTCTCACATATGGGCATAAATTGCAAGAGGCAAATTTAACATTCTCAAAGATTTGAACTCCTGACCTCAAACTCATGTGTAGTATCGAGCCCGATGCATCAATCCAGCTAGGTTGGACATCACTTGCAACTATGTTAGTTAAATGGTCAAGCATGGTTTGTTTCTCAATTTATCGTAATCTTTCTAGTTTTATTATTTTTAGCTACATATAAGTGTATAAATATTCTATATGAACATTTTCATCGATAGTAGTATTATTATTTTATGTGTTCACTATTTTCAATTTATTTGTTTTAATTTATTTTTTATTTAATTATTTTGCAAATATATATATATATATATATATATATATATATATATATATATATATATATATATATATATATATATATAT